CAACACTGCCCGCCTGCAGAATGAGGACATCATTTTTAATAGTGTGCTAATCCTTTGGGGCTTCAGTGACGGATGAGTTTAGGGCCCACAATTCTGATTAAATTAAGAAAAGCTGCTCCAAGCATCTAAAACAAGGCACATGGACAATGAGTCACCTAAACCAAACATCAACTGTTTGGAAATATGTCTGTAGCTGTTTTCCACCTGTATTGAATCACATGGGTTTTTTCCCCATGTTACATTACGCTCAGCTGGTACTCAAAGTTTCTGACAGGGCTGTAGGAAGCCTTGTCATGTCTGTTTGTTTGGGAACTGATGGATTCATGGTGAGGAGAGGAAAAGTACTGATTGCAAGGATTTTAGTGTGGATGAAACAAAAGATGTCCTTGGTGAAATTGCCTTGAGCAGAAACTCAGCAGTCTACAGCACACACATGCTTTTCCCCATTCTGCATTTTCTATTTTTATCTGGACTTTCTTCTTTCTCCTTTTCCTCTGAATGCTCCTGCTGTGCCTAATCACCCTACAACCTTCTCCCCCCTCCCTCACCCACCTGTCCCCTATAACCTCATCCCACAGCCTTGGTTCCACGGATGCTGAGCCAACTGCGTCCTCCTCCATCCCTCAGCGATCAGACTTTCCCCCTGGCCCACTGACCCCCTTTCCAGTCCAACCCAGCAGAAGGCAGGACAGCCCATCGTAAATCCATGCCAATTCCCAGAGAGCTCCATTGCCCCGTGCCCATTTCCTCCAGGTTAAGAGGAAGAAGGGGAAAAGTCTGTCCGGCTGAAAGGCAGTGCCCACCTCCATGATGCACTGATGTCACCCGGCAGGGAGCAAAGCCCAGCAAAGTCAGGGGCAATGCGACAAGCCCTGGGGGCTCTCGGTGCTCAGGGTGACCGCCTTTCCCCTTCCCATGGAGCAGAGTGGGGGAATCCCAGCCTCTCATCGCATTAGAGAGGAGAAACAATCATTGTCACCACTCCACGTTTCACGACCCAGACAGAAAAGGTTTCCAGTGCTGTTCTTCGCAGAGCATCACGCAATAGTTACAAGCAGAGAGTCTGGAGACTGGGCACAGCGAAGCTCCTTGGGGCCCAGAAGGCAGAGAGCTGGTGCAGAATGGGGTGCTTATAACGAAATATAACGTACAACTTCAGCATTTACCACCCTGCCGTCAGGCTATAAAATTGGCACTTTCTCCTCTAAGTTACTGAATCCATAATCTGAATCTACCAGCTTTATTTGTGTCGACAGGGAAAACAGTAAAAGTGCGATATCATCATCTCCCATCCTCTGTGGCGCTACCAAGTGTCTGAGCACCTTTCTTTGTAAACATTACCAGAGTAATAGCCCAGAGCTTTCCAGTCCTGCTGTTTCAGGCAGGCAGCCTGCAGCCATTACCACAGGGCTCTTGAACAAGGATGTGCCAAAAGGGGAAATTTTATTGTTTTATTTCCCTTCAGCAATTAAGGAGCTGATGCAGCTCTCGCTACAGTCAATTAGTCTTCACGCTCGCTCTGAAGGGCTTTGGACTGGGCCCAAAGTTGGTGTCCTCATTTTCTATAATCCTGGAAGTGTTTACGCCTTCCCAGCCTCTGAGCGGGGATGAGCCAGCTGATGGCATATCCAGCCAATTATAACCTGAACAGCTAGGAGAGAATAGTTTGTTTTCCATTTGGCAAGAGGGAGGGAAAAGTATGGCAAGGCAGGCCGAGGCAGATGAACAAACCCTCTTTGCAAGCCCTGTTCGCCACACAAAGTATTTGCAGCATGTTTTTTTGGCATAAGCCTGCAGTGCGATTTCTGCTTTGTAATAAGCATCGTTGGAGGCAGGACACTTCGAAGAGAGAATATTTCAATAGAAAGACCAAAGAATTTTGCTGTGTTTTTTGTGACGTACATATTTTCATCTCAGATATACTTTTCTTGCTGTTTTATGCTGGAAAATAGCTCTTCTCATCCTGACTTCAGTATTTCCCACCTTCTTCCTTTCTGTCTGGACATTGATCTCACCAGATTTTGCAGGATAAACTGATCAGCGGACAGACTGGGCTCTTCAGGGAGAATCCAGAGCACTGCAGAAAATGCTGCTGACGACTCAGGGAGTGTTTTGCATCCTTCTGCTTTAGAGCTGAGCTCGGTGCCCTCTCTTCATGAAAAAGGCTACGGTCTTTCTTCAACATACTGTCCTTGCAATGAGGTATTAGTCGATCTGACGAGCAGCTGTGGTCACGACTGCTTGGGGTCACCGGAGACTTTATAGCACTTCTACAAGAAGCAGTTGTTCTTTCAGCTTTGGCCAGGGTCCAGCCTGAACAATTTCATTGTGCCCAACACCTCTGGCAGCTCGGTTCGCCGAAGCATTATCCTGTCCAGGACAGATCACGGGACAGGCTGTCAGGTGTTGGAGGTGCTATTACTGGTTCGGCTGCTGAGCAATGGTTGTGCAATCACAGGCAGCTCACTGAACCTCTGCATGCCTCAGTTTCTCACGATGTAAATAAGGAGGGTGTTTACTGAAGCCACAGGCTGCGTAGTGCTCAGTTAATATTTGAATATGTGTGGAATTGCTTAAATCCTAGGAGTATTAAAAATCAGTGGCAGACTTTGTTGCATGCTGTATGATTCCACAATTTCCCTGCAATGCCTCCCGCACTCACACTGTCGTTACTGCTTGCCAAGAGGTTATGGATCTTCTTGAGTGAAAGGTAGTACATAAACATAAATTATTGTTGCTTACACCAACTGATTTACTGTGTACCCTTGTGAAACCAATGGCTCCCATTTAAAACTTGATCCTGAAGCCAGTAAATGTTTGCTGGAACAGCAGTAGCAGCAGTAACTGATGTCAAGGTTACGGCACATGGCAATGATGTCTTGGGCAATACTTCTTGCGGGGGAGTGCAATGAGTTTTTAGCCAAACATTCTAAGAAAATGACGTCTTTGTGACGACATTGCATATGTCTCTGTGTTAGTTTGGCTTTACCATCCAGAAAAACATCTGTCTCATAATCTCAGAAGTGCTATATTCCAAAAGTCTTGTGAAATAGGTGGCCAGGTAGAGGAGAGAGAGAGTGTTAGTGTTCCCACTGAGGGACAGGCTCATCTGTTGTTGACCTCAGAGAAAACCCACCCGGGGAAAATGTTCTGCGAGTGTTTTCTTCAGTTT